TGCTGAAGGCTCAAACTCAGGCAGTGACGGGTTTAAGAGAAGAGGAACGTGTTCGACTTTTCCACGGTAGAAGAGGCAAGCTTAGTAGATGAGGGAGAAGGTCAAACTGCAGGGAAGAGCGAGAGTGAACGAGGGAGGTTCCAGCTTGAGAGACTGGGAGAGCTTGCTTATTAACCGAGATTCAGATATATCTCAATTTGAGATCTGTAAGCACCCGCTTGTGGTTCTTATCAAATGTGAATGTTGCCTTACCCGAATGCTAGCAAAGAAATGCTTGGATAAAATTTGCCTCAATTTCACTGCATTTTGTGGTGTAGTGAGCTAGTTTGGCTGCACAGTAGGAGATACATTTTTACAGAAATTTTTCATTCTATTCTGTGTGACTTTGGTTCAAACATTGTAAAAATATGATTGGTAAAATGGAGTCTTGATCCCTTGTTTTAAAAAACATTATTTCTGGGTCAGCCGAGTGGCGCGCTGGTTAAGAGCTGGCTTGGGACGCCAGAGGGCCCCGGTTTGGATTCCACATATGAGGGCCAGTGACACTGCCCTCTACCGCTAAGATGCTGAACAACAGCTCAACCTGGAGCTGGGCTGCTGTGAGTCACCGGCGACGGTGTAGGCTGCAACCCTGCTACAGTGGGTTGCCATGGGCTACTGTGTGTAGTGAGCTGCCAGCAGCCTCCGTGAGCGGCCGTCCAGAAGCCGGCGACTGATCTGCTTCGCCCGGGAAGAGCGCAGTGATGGTGCCAACTTGGGCCAGTTAAGCAACGTCCTCCACAACTAGACTGAAGAACCAAAGGACAGTAACTTGTCTGTTCCCCTCCCCCCAATTCCCCGGCGCTGTTCCCATCCCCCAATTCCCCAATAAAAATTAAAAAAAAAATCATAATCATCTTTACAGAGTATGGAATTAAAAAAAATTATTTCTCTTAAAGAGAAATTAAAAATTTTTTAAAGGTTTGTAAACCTTGACTGAAAGCAGAGGAAACTGCTAGGTGTTCTTCTATGAAGCGTCCTTCTAGCCTATCTTTGTGTTCGATGCTCATTATGATCTTGTTTATCATCTGAGGCCCATTTCCAAGCTCAACTCAACTTGTGGTCCACACTCAATTAAAAAATAAAAGCTGTTATCACCAGTTCTAATGTCTGTAAGATATGCCTTAGCCTCACTCAGTGACTTGGCCCCTGTGGCGTTCATAGGAGAGCTATGTTCAGAGGAAGAGGAAGTCTGTTCTGATGAAGAATTATGTGCTGAGGGGTTACCATGTGGAGGACACTCTAGAGAAGCCATGATTCCTGCCTTCCAGAAGCATCCCATATAGTAGGGAAAAGTTTATAAAAGGCCAAAAGTAGAAATATGCACATTCAAGAAATTCTTTGCCATGTCCTTCATTTCTTCTTCTGACTTCATCCTGTCTTTCCCTCTTTCTGCCTCTTTATATACCCTTCCTTCTTCCACTCTCCCTCTCACCCTTCCTTCCTTTCTGTCATTACTTTGGAATGAGGAAGAGACAGATTGGTGCAGATGCTCTTTGCATCTTGCTTCATGATCTTCAGCTTTAAAATTGCTGACAGGCGGCAGAAACACTGCGAGTCAGGGCTCAGTGCTGGGCGTGTGTCCCTCATTTGCTGCCTACTTGTCCTTTGCAGAGAGAACCCACAGACAGCAGGCAAGCTCTACATTTTAATGCAAACTTGATAAAAATGCAAGCGTGATAAATATAGCTCTTTACCTTGATCAGGCCATAGGTGAGAAACTTTTACATTGAACTTGATGTTAACTGTTGTTTTTATTTTTGTGCTTACAGGTTGATGAGTGTGAAAAGAAAAAGAGGAAAGACTATGAAAGTCAAAGCAATCCTGTTTTTAGGAGATACTTAAATAAGATTTTAATTGAAACCAGAAAGCTTGGACTTGTGAGTATTGGTGGTGTGATACCAATCAGTGTAGTGGATATTTTCATAATAATTTCAAATTATATAAAGCAGTGAGAGAATACCTGACTCACCCTTTGCCCAACCTGTTCATGCAGGATAAAAGGTAGCAACCTGCTGGGCGGTGGTGTGGCAGGAAGTGGGTGGTGTAGACCATGTACCTTTTCATCCAGTTCCCGGGGATTCACTTACTCAGCTGTGTACACTGCCAACCACTTAATTGAGTTTGGGGTTGGGGGTTGTTTTAAGTTTTCTATTTTAATTTTTCTAAACAGTTGGAAACGTAATAAACTCCTGACTTTTCTGTCCTGACCTTTACTTGTTTTCTACCACTTGTATGTTTTCTTACTCAGATGATGTGAGATCATATAGATTGAGAAAAAGAAAAATGTGTTTTAAGCAGTTTCCTCCCCCCAGCTGTTTCCTGTGGCAAGCGCTGCTTTATAGACTTGCACATCATGCCACATTGTTCATGATGGATGTTAAGATTCCATTTTTTGGTCATTTCTTTCACTTCGGGCAATCAGAATATCAAGGGAAAGGAGTATTGGATGAATAATTTAATAATCCCACCTTATTTTGGAAGTATAAAGGCAGGTGTTATCATGTGTGCACCCTTTAATTCAAATCTTACAACTGTGTGCAACGTGGAACAGACTGTTTTATAGATGAGGAAACAAGACGGAGCCATAAAATACAAAGATGGAGAGGCTTGGAAATATTTACATAGTTCCTGGTTTTTAAATATTACTAACTGCTTTTTTATGCTTACTGATGATTTGTGCTTTGACACGACACTTTGGTTTTTCTCGTTTTATATTTTTATCATTGAACTATTTTATAAAAGAAAAAAGATTTTTCTCTTATTTGTATAAGCTGGTTAATGAATGTAAAATGTTTACAGTGATTTTGCTAAACTGAACTGACACTAATAAAGAGAGTTATAAATATCATGTATGTTCCTGGAACTCAGATGTTACTGCTTTTTGAGATCCCTTTTATTTTTCTTGTGCCACTGCAAATTTCAGGCTCTGAAAACTAAGCAAATGGAAAGTCATAACTTGAATCATAAGATAAAGGTGCATATCGATCCTCATTATTGTGGAATTCATATTTGCACATTTGCCTACTCACTAAACCTTACCTGTAACCCCAGAGTCAGTGCTCCCAGCCCTTCGGTGGTCACTTAGACGTGCACAGAGTGGGACAACATGTGAGGTGCGTGATGTGCGCATTCCCAGCCAAGGTCTTACAAGGCCATGTTCTGCCTTCTAATTGCAGCTCTGACTATAAATGTACTTTTTTGTGGTCTGTATATGGCTACATTTTTTATGCTGTTTTTGGTTTGTGTGGTTATTCCACTGTTTAAAATAGTTCCCAAGTGTTGTGCTGTCTAGTGTTCCTAGTGCAAGAAGGCTGGGAGGTGTGCCTCACAGAGGAAATACGTGTGTTACAGGAGCTTCCTTCAGACATGAGCTGCAGCGCTGTTGGCTGTGAGTTCGGTGTTAATGAGTCAACAATATATATTAAATCAGGTGTCTTTAAATAGAAACACACATAAAAAGGGTATGTATTGACTGGCAGATGAAAATGTGTTTGCAGGAGCCTAACCCTGTATTTCCTTGTAGGAGCCATGGTTCAGTATTTGCTGATTAATCAGTGTTTGAGGTGACTTTATAGAACATAACTACTGCAAATAGCAAGAATTAACTGTATTTTAGTAAAATATACATTACTTACTTGCTTAGACTTTTATAATTTTTGAAATGTTTTTCACATGTATTATTATCTTTGGTTTTCATGTTGGCCTGTGAGACACAGGTAGATATTGTTATTCTTATTTTATACATGTGAAATATTGTAAATCAGTTATGTATTTAGCTTCAAATTGGCTTTTGTCTTAAAATGTTTCACTGAGTGATATAATGATAACATTTTCTTCTCTAATGTTTGTTTTTTGGCAAATTTAATTCAGCCTGATGAAAATAAAGGCGATATGCATTATGATGCCGAGATTATCCTTAAAAGACAAACCTTGTTAGAAATACAGAAGTTTCTCAGTGGAGAAGACTCAAAGCCAGGAGCCTTGGATGATGCATTAAGTGATATTTTAATTAATTTTAAGTTTCATGATTTTGAGACGTGGAAGTGGCGATTTGAAGATGCCTTTGGAGTGGATCCATATAATGTGTTTATGGTAAGCTGGGATCAGGGGATCATGATTAACAGTTTCTTTTTTAAATACTTGTAAAATTCCTCATAATTCTGTTAAGAACCTGTATAGCAGCGGTTCTCAACCTTCCTAATGCTGCGACCCCTTAATACAGTTCCTC